AAAGTATAGAAAGCAGTAAAACTCCTCCTTTAATTCCTTGGCTGGAGAAGTATGTTCTTCTGTGGGGGTTGTGTATATATTCACAAAATGCTCTTAGCAATTTGGCTGTAGGTGTTTTGCATATTTGTGATGGCCATAGCAAAGACATCTGTTTCTTCAGAGTGAACAAAGCTATTGTATATTCTGTAGTCTGTCTGAAACTTGCAATTCCTTCCTTTTTTTTTTTCTTTTTTTCTTTTTTTTTTTTTTTTTTAAATGGTAGGCCTTATTTGGAGGGGTGTGTAGCCTTCCATCAGTGTGACACTGTTCTGTGTCCACTAGTGCAGTTGCTCCTGGACAGCAAATGAGGCAGAGATGCCTGGGTTTCCCTTCCTGTTTGAGGTAAATGGAAATGGATAAGAAGCTTTTCTTATCTATCTAGCAGTTTTGTAGTGGATGGCTTGAGGATGAGAGAGTGAGTGGCAGAAGAGAGGAAAAACAATTGGCCATGGAAAACAGCTTTTTATAGCTTTCAACTTTTGTACAGACTGCATTAGTTGGGTAGTGAAATATTAAGCGTGCCTTCTGCGGCGTGGTTTGTTTTTTTTTTCCAGAGGATAATTGCATACTGAACACCGTGTACTTAGTCTTCTTTATGTAATATTAAAGTGCTTGTCTTCCAATTACCATTCAGTTCTTCTTGTAAGTGGGAGCATCAGTTAACTGACCACATGTGACTAGGTTTCTGTAATATTTATAGACGTTCCGGCTAAGATGAAGGTGGATTTGGCTTTATTTCTCAGAAGTACATAGTTTTGTGGGAGAACATCATAAAAAGCTGCTTTGTCACTGAGGTGGAGCTGATGGCACCACTTACCTTACAAATCAATGTTTTGTTTCTGTGGTTGGAGAGTGGAGAGGACTGCAGGCAGAGGGGTGGGGGAGATGTAGGGCTTGGGGTTTTCCAGTCCCTGTAAGGTAATGATGCGTTTGGGTGTGTGGTTTGGCATGAGCTGCCCAAATCATTCAGCAGGTAGCGTTGGACAGCTGGAAACAGAGGTGCTGAAGCAGTTGCAGTAATTTGGGATGTTTCTGAAAGTCAGAGACCTTCAGAAGTTGTTTCCTCATGTCCTCTACCTCACATGGCTGCAGCTGCCTCTCCAGACAGCTTGAGTGGATCCTCGCTTTTGAGCTGAGCTCATGCCGTGTTCAGACAGCCTGAGATCTCTTCTCAGGCATGAACATTGGAGGTTCTTCTGCATTCTACTTAAATGTACAGTAGCTTCAAAACCTACATCAGTCGGTGTTCTTTATTTACCTATACCTTCTTTTTCCCTGATTGCTCTTCGTCATAGAAGAAGATAGAAGAAATAGAAGAATGATCTGGACAAACTGTTGTTTCTGTTCCTGGTTAACTTTTCATTGTAACCAACTGATGATCAGTTCATAGCATGTACAAGCAAGTAAGATTTTTTTGTTGTAAATAGTGATGACTGATAGAGAGGCGCAGAGGTGCTATCCTGACTGGAGGGCAGGCTGCAAATTCAGCTTAGATGCTAGCTTCTAAGGCAAAGGCTGCAGCTGAACATTCTGTCTGCTGGGTGCTGTATTTTTTGTCTTAAAGGAATCCCTGTGTGATGTACGGAGGATGCAGATAAGCACTTAAAAAAATATATATATATAATATGTAAAGCTTCATTTTTGACACAGCTTGAGTTTGTCTCAAGCCTTGGTTCTGTGTCGTCGTGATCCTGTCCATCAGGAAAGCTCACTGAAAACTGTCATGAGTATGTGCAGTTACCCTGGGTTACTTTGATGTAGCACCGTTTGGGACAGTCTGAGAAGAACAGTGCATCTTTCCTGGGCACAGGCAACATGTTGAGATTGGTTATTTGCCATCTTCACTTTCCTGAGAGCATGAATGTGTGAGAGAAACATAGAGAGTTCCTGCTGCATAGTGCTGTTTGCTGAACTGAGCTGTCATCAGTATTTGTAATGCACCTTTTGTGTTGTGTTTTTTTTTTTTCATCCAGAAGGATATGCAGTGTATGCAAATAGGAACTAGCCAGTGAAATGAAAATATTGCATCCAGATTTTACAGTGAATCCTTGTGGTATTCCTGTGTTAAATCTCCCAACTTCCACCTTTAGGCAGGAGCCATTATTCACGTGGTTTCCTCTGAGTGATTCTTGATTTCTGAGAATCAGTGCATGTAGTTCACATCTGTCGCAGGCCTCTGGAAAGAGAAGTTGTGAAAATCTCAGTTGGAGGCTGAAAGGAATAACCTTTAGTGCACTGGGTTTCGAGTGTTCATACTTGTATGTATGAATTTCAGAATCTTTTGGATGCCATTGCAAAACCCCTTCAGAAATAACATGGATGCTTATGCAGTTGTCTACCTATGAAATCCTAAAGCCGCCTTTCACACATTGCACTGATTCCCTCTCAGTCCTCTCAGGAATACAGGAATATAGCAGGATCACTGCTCTAACAGTGTGAAACTTCCTTCTGAAATGCCTTCTGCCCATTTTCCATGTACACCTTTATCTCCAGACATTTTTTGGACTGGATTGTACACACAGGCAAAGGCCCGTATCCCCCTTGCTAATTCATGCAGAACCTACCTCAGTAATAAAATAGCAACAAATAGTTACATTTATAAAATACAAACCTGTGGCATTGTCTTTTCAGCGGGGCAGTGGCATATGATAGTGCAAGACGAGTTAAAAATGTTTTTATTTAGGGCATACAAACCAGGCACTTTCTAGAGATGTACGATGGCCTCTAGAACAGTGGGCGGCCTCAGAAATTATGCTTTCAGTAACACCATACTTGGAAGAGTTTGCATGTGTGTTGTGGTTTGAGAGATGCGTGCGATCAGTACAGTGGTGGGGATGATGTTGCTGTCAGTAGCGGTGAGAAGATGATGTCCAAAATGAAATATTTCAAGCATGTCTTAACTGCACGGGGAACTTTTTGTTTTTAGAAACTTCAATTTAGCTGAGATTTGTGTAGCGTGCCTCAGTTAAGTTTCTGAAATAGCCTTATATGGGTCTCTCATGGACTTCCTCACCACTGTAAATTAAGAGTCCTTTACTTGTCTAGAGAACAAGGCTCAGATGCCGATACATTAGAAAAATATTTTTCTTTATTTGAAGATGCTTACGTGTGGATTTTTCTCTTTTAGAAAGGGCAGGTAGTTTCTAGTCCATGATCAGTGATGTGACTCTGTGGTGGCATTCTGACAACCTAAACAAAGCTCGGAAAGTACCCTGTGCACAAGTGTGTGTATAAACATATCCTACACTTGTTTGAGATAGCAGAAAGCTATCCCCCCCCCAAAAAAAAGTTACCTTGAAAATTTGAACAGAGAAGGCCTTGCAGTGAAACTTGCTTCATCTCCCTTTGCAACAAGTTGTTGATGTTCCCTTAGTAGAAGGCTGCCAAATTAATGTAGCGGTGAGTGATAAGGGAAGGGTTTTACAGATCTCTGACTTATTGATTAGGTCGATGTGACAGAACAGAAGATGTAATATCTAAACTTAATGTGTTGAGCCACAGTGTTTAGACATGGTTATGTCCTTGATAAGTTTTAATGATCTCTGAAAGGATGCTGGAAGCGTGAAGGTCTTCATTCACTTAGGCAATGATTCCTCATTCAACAGGCAGCTGTTATTGCTGATCTTACCAGTTGTCCCTCTCGATCTCTGAAGGTGTTTGTGTTTCATTCTTCAAGAGGAAGGAGTTACAGAGATGTGAGTCTGATGCGTCCTGATAGATTTTGCCTGGTCCTTTGCTTCATCGTTCTATAAAGTAGCCACTTCTGTGTCTCAGTAAAACCATGACCTTTTGTTCACAGTGTTCATCTCTCATTCAACTCTTGATTTGTTCACTTGCTGGGCAGCTATGGAGCTTTACTTCTCTTAAATATAAATCATTTCTTCCTTGCAGAGCAACAGAAATGTCCCCCAGGAGGTAGGATTGGTCCTTCATCTGAGCAGTCTTGAGTTAGAAGTCTATTTCTTTGAAACAGTTATATAAAATATAAACTCAATTTACTGCATGAGGATGTAGATTATGTGCAGAAATATTAATCGCTCGACAAATCCCAGCTATATCTTCTCAAAGGCAGAGAGTTTCTTCAAGAAACATAAAGTTGTGAAGTAGTCTTTACAGCAAGAGGAGCACTTGGACATTTTTTGAGCTTCGGGCGTAGGCATTCAAGTTTAGCTTAGCCATAGCACGCTTATTAGTTTAGCAGATGGCTTGAGTCAAACTAGCTGTATAACTGATTGAAACAGAAGAACTGCTGTAAGATTTCAGACTGCACCAGTGAGAACATATGGACTCAAAATAGTGATTGCTGCCTGTGTGGGTGGGAGAGGGGCAGATACCAAACATAAAATAGTGCAGTACTGTTAGGGGATGCTGCACACTCTGTGGAAGAGTCGTTGCAATAGGAGGAGGGGTCGACTTTCGTCTTTTACAACTGGTATGGAGAGGTAAGGCTAAGGAGGCTAGAAGTTTAGTCAGGCTATCTGTAACAGAGCTGTTATGGCAGGAAACACCTTTTGCACAGAAGTATGCAGGCTAAGTGAAGTCAAAACGTGAGGTTGTTATAAAATAGTTTTTAAGGAAAGTTATAATTTTAGTTTGAAAGTATCTTCTAGTATGCTTTCTAGTACTCTGAATCTTGTCATCCAGGATGAAAGTAATGATAAACATGCATATTTCTGGTACAGAATGCCTTTTGACCATTTCAGAAAGTCACTATTTGCCCTGAAACTAAAGAAGGAAGCATCTCTGTTTATAATATATATATGTGATTCCTCATTATACTTTGAATTTTCAGAAAAAGCCGTTAGGCACTCTAAGTTTACTCTGCCAAATAACCTGATTATTCTCTCCAAATAAGCACAGAGAACCTACTCTTGTGGCGTATTTAAATATGTGTTAAGGTTCAAAAAAATTAAAAAAAAAAAAAAAAAAAAAAATGTAATTGCTTGCTACTCCTGGCTTCTAGGTTGGAAGTCATCCTTCAGAGGCATTACTTGAAGCATCTCTTAGTCTTGCTTTGGTCCTCCACCAGAGAGTTCCCTGACAGCAGCGGACTGAAGTGTCACATCCCCCTGCTCCTGAGGCTACTGGATCCAGGACTCACGGTTCTCCCAAGTCATCTCCCCTCTGCACTTGTTGTTTTGGTGGCTGGTTTAAACACATCGCTGTCTTCATGGCAGTCTTGCACCACTAATTCTGGCAGTGCATCCAGGAAGCAATGAGGACTCTGTTAGGGGTCATGCAGTTACTCTGAAAGAGGCAATGAGAATATTGTGTGTGAAGGAAGCCAAGTTCTTGTGGTCCTTTCTGTGCTTTCACACAGTTCAATCCAGTTCTGCTGTAGTGGTTAGCAGTGCGGGAATTACTTGGCACGCTCATCTGTGACTGTAGGATGCATTCCAAAGTGTTAAGAAACCATCAGGCAGGAGGGAGTTGTGATGCTTAATTAAATACACAACTTTTTCCTTTCCTGACCTTGTTGCAATTGCCACATGCTAATAGTCCTGCTTCCAGGCCAAGTTAAGAACAACTTCAACAATTGCCACCTGGGAAAATATTGCTTTAAGCATGTGTACAAGCTGTTTTCTGCTTAGGCATGAATGAGGAAAAGGATCAGGGTATGAACTAATGGGCAGTCAGTCCCAGATAATCTCGGTGCAAAATGAAAAAGGGATTTCAATTACTCCTTTTTTTCCCCATAATCACTAACTTTTCTTTTTTTTTTTTTTTTTCTTCCCTCTCTCTTTTCCAGATAACTATTATCTTTAAATCATACCAACAGTGTACAGATCAGAAAGTATATCAGGCGGTGAGTGATGACTTGCCTGCAGCTTTTGTTGATGGTACAACAGGTGGAGGTGATGGGAGCACCAAGAGCCTGCAGATTGTGGATAAAGTCAGTGGCAAATACATCGAAATGCATGCCAGATACATTGGGACAACAGTGTATATACGTCAGCTTGGGCACTACTTAACACTGGCCATTCGCATGCCTCAAGAGTTGGCCATGGCCTACGAGGAGAGTCAAGATCTGCAGCTGTGTGTGAACGGCTGCCCTTCAAGTGAGCGTATTGATGACAGCGGCCACTTGCCGCTGCCCGTGAGAGGACAGGTGCTCCCTCAGGCAGGCGCTGCTCGTCCCCGGTCAGCATACACACTGGAAACTGCCACCACCAAATGCCATGAGAAGATGCTGTTGAAGGACATCTATTTTTACTCGTGTGTGTTCGACCTACTTACCACTGGTGATGCTAACTTCACAGCTGCCGCCCACAGTGCTTTGCAGGATGTGGAGGCACTGCATCCCAGAAAAGATCGCTGGCATATCTTTCCCAGCAGCAGAGATGGTGGTGTGGGCAAAGGTAGCAAATCCTTTGTCAGTCTTGGACTTGCGTGCTTGATCCTTGTTGCATTTTTGTAGTTTTTTTTTTTTCTTTTGTCTCTTAACAAAGTTTTGAAATATATATTGTCATAATATATTGAGTAAAGATGAGTATATATGTATATACCATGTATATGAAGGGATGTTTTCTCTTGGGACATCCGCAAGATTGTACATATTGTGTTAACTGTTCTATGTATGTTGGATGTCGTATTCTTTGTATCTATTTGTTTTACAGTCGGTGAAATGTTTTATAATGTCCTTGCATTGGGACCTGATAGAAAGCACTTTATTTTTTATATATTAAATATTTGTGTGTAGCTGAGTAACTATATATTATACATATACACACGTACCTACAGTACTCAGTACTCTGCTTAGGTACTGCTTAGTGTAACAAATTTTTTTACTGTATTAATTAATGGGGATATTTTCTACACTTACTGTAGAGACAGCACTTCTCTTGTCCTGTAATTATGTATGTGACTTCCTGGTAGCTTTTTAGAGCCATTGGAGAGACAATGCTGAAAGATTCTAATGGTCTTTGTGTAAGAGTGTAACCTTTCCTTTTCAAAGTTACTACCACAGCTGATTCTGCCCTCAAAGGTTAACTCATTCTGGGAGATGGACTGGAGAAGTCACATGCCTAAATTCTGTCTCTTTCTTAGGTGTTAATTACATCAACACATTAGAAAGAAGGGAGAGGAGTGAGGGCTCCAGCTCTGACTGCGGTTACTGAGGAGCTATGGGAACAACGATGCAGTGGCTTAAAGGCTGGTTTTATGTGGTGCCTTAATCTGCTCCAAGAAACGGAAGCCTTAGTACATGCTGCGGTACTCCAACTCCAGGACAGGCTTCTTTCACTCCTGAAGCTGTTCATCTGAAGCTAGTTAGGTCTGCTCTTTGAACAAGATCAATTAGTGTTTGCCTTTTTTAAAAAACTGTTGTTTGCCTTGGTGGAGTGAGATGTAGTTCATTCACAGAATGAGAACTTGTAGTTTTTATGGAGATTGTTCTGGCCAGTTTAGAGACTGTTGACTGTTAGGAACAGCAGTAACCTTCAGAGGAAACTAATTAATTCCTTATTGGATGTGTAACCACAGGCAATAGATGAACATAGAACTGAGGTAAGGCGGAAGGTAAAAAAAATAAAAATAAAAAAAAAAAATCTGATCTAGATTTGTTGGCAACTTGTTCTGTCAAACTTAGATGATGGTGCTGTTTGAAGTGAATTAGATCTAGGAATTAATGCTCTGTCTGATAATGTGATTTTCCCAGGTTCCTCCTGACGATGACAGGGTTCTCCCTGTTTTGTGTGGCTAAACTTATTTATCACTGCTCTGAATTTAAGGGTCGTGTGGCTGAAAATCAGTGGACAAGCCTAGCATTGCTGCGGTGATGCACAAAATAGATGGGCAGACCTTGTATACTGGTTAAATTCTACTGACCCTGGATCCTGCGTGTATGTACGTATACAACAGATATGTATACATGCATTAAATTGTGATCCTTTCAGATAAATAGCATTTCAGAAATGTAGTACTTCCCCTGAAGAGTTTTCCGTTTTCTTGTTCCTGCTGTGGGATTTCTTGAGAAAATGTTATTTGCACATGTTCATTCTTGAAGTCTGCCATTGCCAAGAGAGCTTTAGCTGATGCCAAATGTGGATATTTTGAAGCTTGTGAATGGTCTCTGGAGAAAACTTAAGCTTACAGGGAACAGTGGTTTTTTCACACACGCTCCAAATGGCTGTCTTTTAGAAGGCTGCAGATTTTATTTTCATGCTTGGAAACCCTAAAATGTGTCAGTCTTTTCAAAAACTTTTAGATGTGGTTCATGAATATACCAGTAAGTATATGTTAGTGTAAAAGAGTGGCTGTGCAGTGTGTAAATATTTTAAATTATTATGATAGAAGAATAAAGTTGCCTACCTTGCTGAGGACTGTCTGTAGTGTGGTGTTAGTGACCCCTGGTGGGGTGCAGGGAAACTGGGGATATGGGTTACCCACGGGGCGGTCAGTCTGTAAGTGAAGCCCTGATTTGTTTCCTCACCATTGCTAGTTATGTAGGAGCATGCTGAGTACCGTTGCTGTATTACCTTGAGATGCTTGTTACCCCTCTGCTAAAGCTGCGTAGTGAAGTCTGTGACTAGCAGCTGCAAACCAGGCCAGTATATTGAAGATGCTGTGTGTGGGGAAACTAGCAGTAGGAACCATCTCTTCGGGACCCCACTGGCACACTTCGTTTTGTAGTGACTGGGAGATGCTTAGAAGAGCTTTACCAAACAAAAACAAAAAAAACATAGAACCATGACACCAGGGTACAGAGGCCCTGATGCTGTGCCCGTCTTGAAGAGTATAATGATGAAAATCTTCCTTTAAACTTATTGGGAAATTCTTAGACCAGAATAACCTCAGAAGAGGAAATTGAGGCATCAAAAGAATAAATGGTACAGAAGAACCCATAAGAAAACATTCTGTATCAAGATCATCTGATAAGAATACATGACGGCTGTGATATTTTAGCTGCAAGGCTAATCACAAAGTAGAAAAGAAAACTGAAAACAAAGTGCAAAACAAGTTATATCAAACACCAAGAGTGATAGGCAATGATTGTTATTTTGCTAGACTTCTGCTATTGCTGGAAGAAGAGGTGTGGGGAAAACAGTCTTATGTAATCGATACACATCACTGAAATGCTTTGTGGAAACAAATGTCTGCAGGAAGCAACATGAGCTCTAAATGTGCTTATGTTAAGTGCCCATGAAAGACAGCTGTCATATCCGTAAGAACTTATTTTCAGTGTGATGGTCCACCACTGCAAGCTCTGCAGAAAGTAATACAGCTTGATCATCAGCAACGTAATGCAGCAGCTAGTAACCTATTACTAAAGTTTTGTCTTTAAAATGTTAGCTGATTACATGTATGTTAGTGGTTAATTCAAAAGATTACTTTAAGTCTCTTCTAGAGTATTCCTGACAAGAGTTTTAATCTTCTAATGTTTGCTAACAGAGCTCTTGGCAGCTGAGGATAGTTCTCTGTAGTTGTGGAGACTGGTAACTTCCCTTGGAAGCATGTCATGGAACTGAGCAGAGTAGTAAGTGCTTAATCCTTCATTTTGTATGTATGTATGGCTTCTGAAGGAGGCTGTCCTCACAAAGGGAAATTGTACATTGAACTGACAGTCCAAACAGAAGTTCTCTTTTTTGTCTCAGATTTCACTTCCTGTAAAACCTGGCTGGGAGAGCAGTCTGTGCAGAGCACCAGTTAAATGGGATTCAGTCTGGGGGAATGCAGTGTGAGAGAACAATCCATCTTTCGTTCTTGTGGTCACGTTAGGGCCCTTCAGTATCCAAGCACATCAGTTCATTTCCTTTGAAACTGGTACTTTCCTGCCAGAGAACAGCTCTCCACCTACTTAAGTCTTAGTCTTATCGATACTGTGCATTTGTTTTATGGATTTTGGGGATGTGGGAAGCGGCTATTTACTGAGATAACACCCTGAGTGAAGCAAGTAATGTTGCAAGTTTTACTCCATCTAATGAGTGTTTCTATTAGGGGATACATTTTGGAAAATAAACTAAATAAACATGTGGCTTTCCTCTCTTTCGTGAGAGCCATTGCAGAGTTTCAAATTTTGCATTCATCACATGAGTATAGCTGAAATTTTGCAATGAAATTTTCACGCTTTGGGATATTTTAATTCCTGTATGTGTCTAGACTGGTACAAAGTGTTCTATCTTTCCCTATTCTGTCTGTTCCTTGTTCTACAACTATTAAAGACCGCTATCAATACAAAGCCTAGGTATGACTAGTAGTGACTCCTTTTTTTAATAGTATTCTCTGTTGTGGTTTGCAAGATTAAGTTTCTCTGTCATGATGCTAGTTCTTCTCTACTGTATTTAAAAAACAATTGAGGGTTACATGGGCCAATGTTGTTCATTAGATTTTTATCATTCTTATTAATTAGGCTGTTTTCAGAGCAGCATAGCTGCAAATCAGGTATAGGTAAGCAATTAGATTTATGATGTTGGTAGAAAATGCTTCTGATCTGATTTAGAATTATTTTAATCTGACTACGTTTGTAAATTACGCTTCATTGAAATTAAAAGCTGCTCACTAGTAAATCAAATGTGGACCACAAGATTGATTGCAGACTTTGGGTACACGAGGGGTCATCTTCAGACCTGGTAACTAGCTACAAGAAGGACATTTGCTACATGTGGAGTGACAATAGTTATGATTACAGAAATTGATTACTGCAGTTCTGAGGCTTAATTCCCACTTTTTTTTTTCCTACACAATAACAGTAGAAAAATAACCCATTTTATGTGTAAAGTGTGAACGTTTTGTTGATTACAAACGAAGTAGGCAGTCACTGCCTGCAGGCAGCTGGTGTGTGAAGTGTCCGTACTGGAAACAGATCCACAGTGCAGCCTTCACAGCCTGCCTGCATGCAGTCTCTGCCTGTTATTAACCCACTAAAGCCTCTCAAGGAGCCTGCAATTGTGCCAGTGAGCAGGGTAAAATAATGCAGTTCTAGGGGTGCTGCCTGCACCCGAGCCAGTTTCCCATGTGGTTTGCCGGCCTAGTTTGCATGCAGCTATTTGCCCTGCTCGCTCCTTGTGTTTGGCAGATGATGGTAAGAGTTGGCAAGCTCAAATTCACAGAATCATAGAATTGCTTGGATTGGAAAGAACCTTTGAGATCGTCTAGCTCCAAGGCCCTGCCATAGGCAGGGTTACCACCCACTAGGTCAAGCCTCTGCTGGAGCAGTTTCCATCTTTCACACCTTGATTGAGTGCTAGTGCCCCAATAGCCTGGAGCTATTCTCCAATATCATTCTGCTTTGCTACAAAGTGACAGCTTTATCCAGCAAGGCCTTGGGTGCCTTAGAGGAGGCGAAGGTGCAGGGAGCCATAGAGAGATTTCCCATAGTTCAGTGAATTTGGCATGTAGGCTTTCTTTGCACTTGGTGGAGCCAGAGGCACTTTGGCTGGCATGAAATTCATGGGTGTCCATGGTAGAGGAGGAACCCAGGCATGAAGTTGAAATCAGAACAAAGGAATCCAGGCCTGGTGCATAAATTTCAGCTCCTACCCAGCTGTACATACTTCTGCTAGAGACAAACTAGCTGCCCAGGTCCTGCCCAGCACAACCTGAAGTGCGGTGATCACTTACAGTCACCCAAGTTGAGCTCCACTTCTGACGGCAATACATGAAAGCTGAAGATGTGCACTGATGTGAAGATGTGCATGTTCAGCCTGGAGAAGAGGAGGCTCAGGGGGGACCTTATTGCTCTCTATAACTTCCTGAAGGGAGGTTGTAGTGAGCTGGGGGTCGGCCTCTTCTCTCGTGTCATTAGTGATAGGACCAGAGAGAATGGCTTCAAGCTACGGCAGGGGAGATTCAGGCTGGACATGAGGAAGTATTACTTTTCAGAAAGGGTGGTCAGGCACTGGAATGGACTGCCCAGGGAGGTGGTGGAGTCACCGAGCCTGGGGGTGTTCAAGGAAAGACTGGATGTTGTGTTGAGGGACATGGTTTAGTGGGAGCTATTGGGAATAGGTGAACGGTTGGACTGGGTGATCTTTTAGGTCTTTTCCAACCTTGGTGATTCTATGATTCTATGATTCTATGATTATAATTCAGAACATTTGGGGCAAATGGAAAGTACCCCACTGTCTAAAATTCCTACTCAATAAGCTAAAACCTGACAGCCCCTAACATAGCTGGTGGCACAGCCAACCTTTCTGTGCCACTATGTAGGAGACATAGAGTAACCACGGGCTCAGCACGGGCAGGAGAGACATCCCTCTATCTGCTGGGAAGCACCGTCCCACGAGCCGTACCCACGGCAGGGGTGGAAGCCTTTGAAAATACTCTCATCTAAAAATGTTCTCACTTCAGTTTTGAATGCTTACTCTTTATTTATTGGAAATATTTCTTTAGAACATTGTAGCTCTGTGTCCATTTGTTTATCCTGCGGGATACTGCACTACAAACACATATATTAAGTATTTCATTTATGCATGGAAAAATAACTTCACTTACAGATAATGTAAGTGAATTTCAATCTAGCAATTCTGATATATGGTCACAATTATGGAAATACTGGTTTTGTTTCTAATAATAAGGTCTGTTTTGAGTTTTATAATTAAACAACAGTGTATTCTTTCTATCAAGAATATCTTTCTACAAATTACAAAAGTGATCTCTAAGAATTAATGAAATATTCAAAAATGAAAAGCAAATTGGATAATCTACAAGTAAATTAAATCCTTATGTTATATCACTTTCTGTTTAATTACTTTCTGTAATTGAAATGAGCCACTTTTCACACCTTCTCTCATTATATCCCCTAATTTATAACAGAGTACTAGATATTTTTTATTTCTTTTTTTTTTTTTCTTTTCTTACTTCCAGTCAAGATTATGGAATTTCTCTAGAATTTTAAAACGGCCATTGTTTTGACATTAACACTCACACTGAAGTATCTCTTTCCGTCTGTGTTTCCCTCCATTAAGATTAATGAATGACCAGATCCTAATTCGTCACAGAATCACAGAATTACAGGTGTTGGAAGGGACCTTATGAGATCATCGAGTCCAACCTCTCTGCTAAAGCCAGTACCCCACAATAGGTCACACAGGTAAGCCTCTGAACAGCAGGAGACTCCACAATGTCTCTGGGCAACATGTTCCAGTGCTGTATCATATAACCATTTCGTTTACTTAAAGACAAGCACGTATGGAATTGGCAGGAGGAAGTGAAGCCCTCAGATCCTGGCAGATTAAGGTAATTTTTTAGCCTTGCTTACTTTCATTCTGGAAAAAAAAGGAAACTGGAATATAACTCATCCTTCTAAATTTGATTCACTTTGGTGAGAATTACGATCTTCTGTTGGCAACCTTGTCAAACTGATCTCTTGCTTGTTTCA